GCTAAACAAGCATGCATCCGTTTGCTGCTGGTAACTCACTTTTTGTTTCCTGCATCACCTTTGAATATCCCAGACACAGATCCTGGGGGGGGCTAAATAAAAAAAGCATTCATTTTGCAGTTTCTTTATTTTTTTTTCATTTCTTTTTACAATGCTTATGACTACTAGGTTAGAAAAATGACAGGAAATCTACTGGTGAAGAAGAGTTGTCTTACAGTTCTCTGGTATATTTATATACTTTTCATATAGTGGAGATGTGACATGACATGAGAGTTGCCTTTATTGTACAGTGCAGATGCTAAAAAATACAGGAGAGCATATAGGCTGCAAGGCAGTAAGAGTTTGAATGAGCTGTCCTTTATTTGCAGGAAACCTTTTATTGAGAGAGAAATAGGGACGCCTCTGCTAACCTCCTCCAGAAAATGCCAACTACCTGGCTGCAACTAACCAGAAAACCAAAGTATAGAAAAAGTCTAGCTAGGACTTTTAATTTGCATACTTGTGCCAGGTCAATAACTCAAAGTAGCGTATTTGCCAGCGTATAAGGCGACTAGGTGTACAAGACGACCCCCTAATTTTCCACTTAAGTTTTTTAGGCTATACTCGTCATATAAGACTACCCCACTTCCGAGGCAACACCATTTAAAAACATCATGGATGGATGTGCGGTAATACTGTATGCACGGTAGCTTCGGCTACATACAGTATATGGCGTTGAGCCAATCACGGCGAGCGATGTATTCTATTAATGAATACAAAGCCTGCTTGGATTGGCAGAGGTTGTGTTCATCGCTCGCCGTGATTGGCTCAGCTCGGTATACTGTATGTAGCCGAAGGTACTGTAAATACAGTATTACCGCACATCCAGCGGGCTGACAGATTAGGGTTGTTGGTTTTGGGCCACCTTGGCATTGTATATACACTGCGTATAAGACGACCCCCGATTTTCGGGGGATGTTATTAAGTATAAAAAGTAGTCTTATACGCCAGCAAATACAGTATTTGTCAGTTGATCGGGTTGACAAACAGGGAAATAGTATTTTCAGAAGAAACGTTCAGCAATAGCAGCCTTTATACTACCCAAGTACAAGTTTACTATAGGTAGGTTATTAAAGTGTATCTATATGTGTAGTGGAGTAGGGATGGTTCAAGCTTTTCTTGTCATATTGGCGGGATTTCCCTTTCTGTCTTTGAGACACAACAGGAAGTGAGTGGCAATCTCCCTAAAGTGAGCATAACAGTTGTCATTCTAGCAGGTATTGACAAATAGAGAGGTCGACTCTCTCCAAAGATGCTGTGCAGCTACACAGTATCTTTTACATGTGCTACTGTTAATTGATATTAAAGATGTTGTTCTTGAGAAACAGGTAAACTGCAATGGGACAGTTTTTTTTTCTAAAAATGCACCATTAGAAAACACAGTTGTGAAAGCTGTGCCTTTTTGGAACAAGGCCATAGGTCTCTCCCATTCGCTTTAGTTTTAGGTGTAATAAGCACATGTTATATTATTGAGCTGTATATGGGTCCTTTATACTGTAGATATGGATTGCCTTCAATTACAGAATTGATTTAAAGGCAATCAATGAGGACCGAAAAACAGGAGCTGCCACTACTGACTTGTTTTGAAAAGGTACAAGCTCTGGGATTATCATTATCTTGGCATCTTTACCTAGTACAGCGATTGAACTTTAAAGTGAAATATTAATATACATTTTTTAATTAAGCAATATAGTTTGTTTTGATAGGTTACTACAACTTTAGGGTTGAATCCGTTTTAATTAACTCTGGGAATATCAGCAAGGCTCTATTGTAGAGGGGGGTTTAGCCATGTCATGGTAATGAGATATCAGTATTTTATTCTCCAGTCAGCTATGAATACAATGCCAGTCATCGTTTTAGCAAATTATCAGGTGCTTATGAGCTCCTCAAACACTCAGTTCTGAGCTTATAGAAGAGCTGTATAGATAAACGTATGCAGGCTGATTGCTGACCTACTTAAAAAATGTTTAGGGTTTGCAGACCTGATAAAAACATAGCACAGCAGTCAGTCAAGTCATACATTTGCATAGTTATTCCTGCTCAGGCTTTGAGGCACCATTTACAGTAGTGGTCCTTTGCAGTGAGTTAATGTGCCTTGTTGTGCGTTCTGGCAGTCCATTCATTATAATTGGGCTGCCAATGCACCAGCACAGATCAGAAAATGCGCCACTGCAAAACACAATAGACTATATATGCATTGTAGTGTGCTGTTGTGCCTTGGATAATAAAGTGCATTAGGGTACCCTTCACAATGAATGGCAGTACAACACACAGAGCCACGAGAACATTAGGGTCACCATGACAGACAAATAACGAAGATTTTTGAAAATGGTGGTTAGCAATGGTTATCCACATTTTCTTTTACCATCTCTAACTCCTATTATAAATACATTACACTTTGGGGTGTATTGAAAAAAAAAAAAATGAGTTATTCGTCCTGTGAAACAGCATGTATATGGGTTCTGTGTGAAAGGGGCAAAAACTGATGTTAGCATAGTTTTTTGCCAGGTTGAATGTAATTAAGTCATAAGATTACAGTAACTCAGGATAATACCGCATTACGGCCATTAGATAGCGCTAAGGATTATAGAAAGTAAATACTTGTTGATTATTTACTAGTAATTGATCCTCGGCTCCATTTAGTAGCCATAATGCAGCATTTCCCTGAGTCACTCTAACCCTATGAATTACATTCAACCGGGCAAAAAATATATTAACATTTGTTTGCCCCATGCACACAGAATGATGTTCTATGTCGCAGGATTATTGGCTTTGCACATTTTTTCTAAATACACCCATTTGTTTTCCTAACTGTCATGAGAGAAATCTAGGGGCTGTGCTTACTGACCTTCAAAAAGTACTAATTGAAGGGCTGCCAGGTTACTAACTGCTTTAAAACTTCCTGAGCAACTGATCCAGAATGAGCATGCAGCAAGTGTGTTCAGAACTCCTAATCTGCATAGTCGTGTTAGAGCCGTCACCCTGAGAGTAACACAGCCACAAATTCAGTATGACAGCCATGCAAATAGCATTTTCACCGGAAGAGTTCCGCGCTGCAGTAGAATCCTCCATATGTTTCTAACAGGCCTGAATCTTCCTGTTGCATTATACTAGCCCTTTTATTTTTTTAAATCTGTAAAGGAAACCATGTTCAAGTTTGATGAAGCTCCGTGAATGATATTGTAATAGTGATGCAGTCACAGTTCAGCTTGTGCTCCACATTCCCACCTATGTATAAGTTGCCTTATTTCTATATGTTTCCATTAAAAGCACACGTCTGCAGAATGAGGTAGTGATGTGTAAATCATCTGGGAGTTTGCATTTTTATATTAAAGTTTCTATGCCATACAGTTTGTTTTTAAACAGTAGTGAGCTAGGAATTGATGTGGAGCTCCAGGCAAACATTTAAATACCCACCTAAAATCAATGTACTGTATGATTACTTCTTCACTGACCATAGGATTGTCCAAGATGAGTCTTACGCTGGGCACACGCCTTACAACCATTGCAAGACTTTTGTCTTGTGATGGTTGTAAGGTCATTTTAAAAAGTACGATCTGCCCATCTTGGACAGGCAGATCGTACTTGCGATGACCGCAATGCTGACCGGGCAGTGTGCGCTTGCGGCTTTTATCTTGCGAACATACCACAAACCAGCCGAACATCGTACGATGTTCGGCTGGTTTTCGAACATGTTCCTAAGGTAAAAGTCGTGCGACCTTACAGTAGCAGAGGTCGCACGCCTTCCACACACCTTATGATAATCGTACGATCGCGGGATTTCCCGCGATTATCATTAGGTGTGTGGGCACCTTTATTCTTGCTGGTTCAATTTAACTAGTTCCTGGACCACCTCCCTGCTGGTTGGACAGAGGTGATGAGATTGATTCCTTGTCCGGTGAGCATACTGCAAGCAGAATGGTGATATAGGAAGCTGCATTACTGTAACAGGAAATATGTATGTCACCTACCTAGCTGTACTATGTAGCAGAAATGTGAAGAATCACAAGACTGGCTGCACAAGGAAATGCCTTGGCAGGTGAATAAACATACACAGCCAGATAAACTATTGAAGGTGCACCACTGAATACTTCAGGCTGAAGGGTTTGAACAATAAAGTGTGGCTAGCCAAATGGTAAAACATCCCAAGTGCAACATGTCACACAAAAAGTCACATTATCTGTGTCAAGTAAATCATTCTTCTGAAAATGAGTTGGTCAATATTTGGCACAGTTGAGGTGTGGCGTATTGCACTAATAATGGTGGTGCAATACGCCACCATCATTAGAATCATGCTTTCTAATAACCTATAGCTTCTATGACATAATAGTTTGTGAATTGTAATGTGCCACAGCAAAGGGATATCCTCGCCACACACCATACCGATCTATTCCCCCCATTGATGGGTGCTGAAGCAACTTGTGGATGGCACCATAAAGGAACATGTTTCCTGAACACTTTGGGTATCTTCCTTGGAAACTACCCTTATTGACACCCAGTCGTCATGTCAGAAACAGCAAAAATGCAATGTTTCAGAGCCACACAGAACTGCTTCCGCAGGCAGATGTGCTGTGTGACAATTCACATTCCTCTACTCATAGTTTATTGGGCCCATAGTACATTAATTTACATTGTATATTTAGCTGTTTGCCTGGCGTTCCACTTATAGGATTAAAGAAGAAACCAAGGCCAGACTTAAAGGAAATCTGTCCTAAGAGAACATTTGTGTCTGTCATTGCTGACCTCCTTTAGAAAAGGCTGGTTGCCTGGCTTTCTCCTTTGTGTCTCAAAATTCCTAATGTTAAATACACGTTAGGGAATTGTAAAGCAGAAGAGACAAGTAGTCAGCAGGACAGCCAGGCAACAAGTATTTTCAGCAAAGGAATGCAAAGGCAGCCTCCATACTCTCAGCAGATGTTTCCTTCAAATTTCTACACATGCATAGTAAATACGATGACCAATTAAATGGATATGCGACTCTTCATGCAAACATCAGGTTCACTGCTTTCCACAGTACAGTCACTGTAGTCCATCTTGCAGTGGTCACAGTCACAGCTCAATGCCACAGGGTAGGTGAAGAATGGGTCTGTGCCAGGCAAACAGTCTGGCAGTCTGATGGTGTCATAGCGGATCTCTTTATAGGTGCAGATATGCTGCTTAAATGAGGAAAGAGCAGTTTTGTACACTTGATCCTGTTGAAAGAGAGAATGGGATGTTATCCAGTTCAACAAATGTTTCCTTGTACATAAAGTAGAAGAGATTCTGATCCCAAAATAAAATGATTGCTTGCAATTTAAAGGAAAACTCCTGAAATGATCTATGTTTTCAACTTACACTGGGTTAGCTTGGTCCAATGTGCACACATATCCATAAATATAAGATGTTTACTGAATGGTGGAGGAATGAGATGACAAAATCTGGAGCAGCTGTGCATGGCAACCAATCAGCTTCTCTCTTTCATTTTCAAATCTTAACTGAACAAACTTTCCATTTGGTTCTGCAGTTGCCATAATTTGCTAAAACTGTTACATTCAAATGTCTCCCCCTTGCAATATGTCACCCTTGAGGGTTTTTTGTACACTATCTCCAAAAATCTCTTCCTGTTTGGCTTACTGGTTTTTGCACTGCCATTTAAGTCATATTTCAGGCATCACCTGCAACAGGAGTGTTATTATTGGTGAAAAACTCTCTTGGGGCTCATGTTGGTGGGGGTTCTTGTCAAAAGCAGATATTTTGTATTCAAGCACAGCTGTTGCTTTCAAATAGAAAAGACTTTGCCTGCAGTTCAAGTGCACCTCAGTAGGACATACTGCATCCAAATAAACACAAAACAGGTCATATGCAGCCTCTCATGTCGTGTATTGCTCCATTAAAGTCAATATCAGTTTGCTGATCTGTGTTTATAATACAGATCAAACACAAGAAAACCAGGCCAGTGTGTCTGAGCTGTAAGGGTCATCTTTAATACAGTGTATAATGTATTGCTGGGATTTGTAGTCCTCTCTAGCTGATGATACAGCACAATGTACCAGCAGCTACACAATTATAGCAGCTAGAGAGGACTACAAATCCCACTACCCCAGCTATACATTAATGCAGCACCATGTGGGGTGGGAGGGGAGTGCAGGCTTACCTGAGCAGATATGTACGCCGCCAAAATAAAAGAATTCTTCACCTAAAGCAGTGGTTCTCAACCTTTCTAGGGCCGGGACCCCTTGGTAACATTTGCCAAAATGTAGGGATGATGCGGCTGCTGCAGCGACATCTGGCGGCGTGAAGGGAGAACTGACACTGCTGCGCTGGGAGAGTGCTGAGGAGGACTCTCACCTAGCACAGCAGAAATCACACAGGTTGAGAACCACTGCTTAAAGGAGACAACAAATCCCAGAGGAATACAACAAATTGCAGCAATAGTCCATTATACTATAATGTTCTATTGCTGGGATTTGTAGTCCTCTATAGCTGGTGTTATTCTGCAGTTTGCTGTATAATGATTATACGGCGCACCGCAGAATAACGCCAGCTATAGAAGACTACAGCAAATCGCAGCAATAGTACATTACACCATAATGTACTATTGCTGGGATTTGTAGTCCTCTGTAGCTGGTGTTATTCTGCGTTGCGCTGTATAATGTACTATTGCTGGGAGTTGTAGTCCTATATAGCTGCTGGTATTCTGCAGTGTGCTGTATAATGATTATATGGCGCAATGCAGAAAAACACCAGCTACAGAGGACTACAAATGCCAGCAATAGTACATTATAGCATAATGTATTATTTCTGGGATTTGTAGTCCTCTGTAGCTGCTGGTATTCTGCAGTGTGCTGTATAATGATTATACGGCGCAATGCAGAAAAACATCAGCTACAGAGGAATACCGCAAATCACAGCAATAGTACATTATACTATAATGTACTATTGCTGGGATTTGTAGTCCTCTGTAGCTGGTGTTATTCTCCATTGTGCCGTATAATTTATTATTGCTGGGAGTTGTAGTCCTATATAGCTGCTGGTATTCTGCAGTGTGCTGTATAATGATTATAGGGCGCAATGCAGAATACCACCAGCTATATAGGAATACAACAAATGCCAGCAATAGTACATTATACATACATTGTAGGGATGCACCGATACCAATACTAGTATCGGTATCGGTGCCGATACAGAGTATTTGGGCGAGTACTCGTACTAGCCCAAATGCTCCGATACCTTTCACGCTACTAGAACTTCCGGTCAGAGGAAGATTTGCTCTGACTGGCAGTGCCGCGAGGAAAGATGGAGCTGGAAAGCTGGCTCCATGTTGTTTGGCTGGCTTGATGCTGATTGGCCGGGAAGCCGGCTTCCCAGCCAATCAGTGTCGAGCCATTCACGTGATTGGCGCTCAGCCTGCTACTGTGCATGCACAGGATTTCTGAATGAGAGCACTGGGCAGTCTGCGCATGCACAGTAGCAGGCTGAGCGCCGATCACGTGGGCGCTGTACAGAGGAGACAAGGGGAGATCTTGGAGAGCGGTGTCTGCCCTCTTGGAGAGCGCTGGCCGAGGGACTGGTACGTTAATGAATGTGATACGGATGAGGGGAATTAGGTGCCGGGTCATGTCACCATATTGTCAGATCTGTTTGGCCGGCCTTGATGCCTATTGGCTGGGAAGCCGGCTTCCCGGCCAATCAGCATCCAGCTGGCCAGACAGAATGGATTGGGTGCAATAGCTAGTTTGCTATTGGCTATTGCAAAGTGAAATAACCAATAGGAATCTAGCTATGTGTTCCTATGGGTTTATTGTTTTGATTTTTTTCTGACTGATGACGGCCTGCGGCCCGATGTCAGAAAAAAAAAACCAGCAGAAAAGGTTTGCTCTGCTCGATCGAGCAGAGCAAAGCTTTCTGGGAGAAAGTTGTTTTTTTCTCTCTGATTTACGGCCGCCTGCGGCCCGATGTCAGAAAAAAAAACAAAAAACAGTGGAGAAAGTTTTGCTGTGCTCGATCGAGCAGAGCAAATCATTCGGCCCCCGGCGGGGTCGCGACCCACACGTTGAGAACCGCTGACCTAAAGGGATGCAGATACTGCAGTTTTTGAGATTGAAACACTAAGATTGCACCAGATGCCTATAATGAAGGTAGACTCTCCAATTCAGAAATCAGTTGGAGAAATAACAATGTATACAGTTTACGTTGAACAGAGCAGTGATTTACTCTGCTCGCTATCGAGAGATTTACCTGCTTGTTGACAGTAATGTTATTAGTATCTCATGGATTTCAGTGTGCTGAAACTTAGGTGCCTACTAACAAGCAGTTCATTCTTTGAGTAGTGAAAAGATATAACCTAGGGCTAAAAAGCCAATTTTTGTAGCTTAATTGCACTACTAAAATCTCAGGAGATAAATCTCTTTGCTTGTATTACGTTACTTTTATCTTTCATTTAACTGCTTGCCGTCCGCCTGTTGTAAAAAAACGGAGAGACGGCAAGCTCCCATTGGCAGGTCGCCGTAATTAAACGGCTCTTTTTTTCTGCTCACGTGCACCCTCGTGCGCACGCACGCACGCACACACAGGCATAAAAAAACAGTTGAATGTAAACAGCCATTACCGGCTGTTACACACACACAGTCGATCGGCGACTACATAGCCGTCCAATCGCTTGTATGTGCT